TAATCACCATAACGGGTCCAGGATATTAACTATATCTCATCACAAACATCAGCTTTCCTTCTTCCCGTTAAATCCCTCCTGCAGGCGGTAGCTTCACAGGTATTGATGACGGTGAACTCCTTCCTCCCCGTACCTGTTGTTGACTCTCGGTACCTCAGAAGCTGCTCGGCCCTGCAGGTGAACGCCAGGCTTTGGAAACGGCGTGGGCTCCAGGGAGGAGAAATACCGCCGGTTATCCGTGTGAATCTGTCCCACTGATGTAGCTTGTGAGTGGGCGCTGGCAGCTTAATGCCGGTTTACCCACCGGTCACTTCTCCGCCTTCTTCTTTCTCTTTTTTCTAAGTCTACTAGCGAGGCCGAGAGACAACGCTTTGGCGTGATGTTTATTTCTCCATGTGCCGGAGGCTGCCCTTTATTCACAATCTAGACTACCGCTGGACCTCCTGAGGGAGGCCGCCGGTCTTCAGAACCCCCCCCCCCCCCCTTCCATCGCAACACCTCCCTCAGCTGCTCGTTTCTGCTCAAAGTCATCTGGCATTTCTCCAAAAATAACAAACTCTTGTCTCTCCCGGCAAGAGTTTGTTATCATGAAGTCACCTTTGTTCAAATTATTATAAGAGTAGCCTTATTTCTCACCTTGATAAAGGCGAAACATGTCAGATCCCCCCCCCGCCAGCCCCCCAGATTGTAATTAAGAGCGTTGGGACGAGACGGTTTGTCCGGATAACGTCTTGATGTGAAAGGCTCCGTTATCGTGGCCACTGGGCCCCCGGGGGCCGGTCGGTCTAATGTGGTCGCTGCATGTGGGGGCTGTTTGTTTGTAGAAGGGAAGAGTGGCTCGAGGCCTTCCTTATATGCAGCACTCATCAGACATTCTGGGTGATAAGAAAAAGACGGGTGTCCTTGGAGAAACAAGTTTTGTTTTTATTTAGAACCAACATGCAACACAATTCCACATATTTTCGATTCGCACGCATTATGTCATAATAAATCAAGATATATAGGTATATATATATATATATGTAATGTGTTTGGATTTTATGGTTTACGTTCCTTCCCGTGCAGCCTTGGCACAGAGAAGCTCTCTGAATGCTTTTAAGTTACAAAGCGACTGGTGGCGACATCTTGAAATACAGAACGTGACTCCAATCATCAACATCCGGTTCCATCTGGCTGGAATAATAATTCCCCTCCTCCTCCATCAGAAAGGTTTTTCATATATATTTATTTCCGGACCGCTCGTCTTTCGCAGCATGTGTCACACATGTATGTATGCATGCATGGTGGATTGGATGGAAGAGCTTGAATCTCCAGTTAAATCACAGCTCCAATCACGTGGACCTTTTAACATTTGCTTAATCATCAAATGTCACGTGATTTATAAGCTTTTGTCGCTCTTTAGAGAATTCCTCACATGCACAAGTATGTTGTGACAACGTCTACTCAGCGGTCTTAGTGGGCGGCTTAGGGGGACCGGTGTTGGACGAGGAGCAGAAGGACGGCTCGGGGAGAGGCACGAACGCGCCACGCAGGAAGCCGGTCCGGCTGCGGGCGGCGTGCGCTGGCTCCGGGGTTGACGATTAGAAACGCAAGGATCTGAGAGCCGCCAGTCGCTCCACGACACCGATGGTCACATGGACACCTTTCTCTTCCGCGCAAGATGGGAGCCAATAACTTCCATCCCAGCATCACAATATTGAAGTAAACACTCTGATTTAACGTACTAATGTCTGTTTAATCAGAAGAAGAGCTTTCCCTCCACGTACACAATTATAACGCTTCTCATCGCGACCAGCTCATTATATATTTCCATTTTTCATCACTTTGGGATGCTGCTGCTGTACCTGCTGTCATGAGCTGTAAAGTTCATCCATCAGAGGGGGGGTGACGGAGGGCTAAATGTCAAAATGTAAGTGGGGGCCTCTTCTTTGTGTTTTTATACTCATTCAGACTAAGCAGTTTTATTATAATTCTGTTTAATAATTCTTATGTGGTTTATTACAGTAAAACAAACCGTGGTTTGAATGTGAATTTCTTCAGTCCTTCTTTTATGCCAAATATTGCTGACTGCGTTGCTATGGGAAACAAATGGAGGTCACTGGATGAATTTTGATGCCGTTTCTTGACTCTTAATTCTCTTGTTTTTGCCTTTATTTTCCATAGAGAGCACAGGCAGGGAACCGGAGCGGGGTGGAGGGGTGGGAAGGGGGGGCGGGGGGGCATCGCCACTTTCACCCGTGTCACCAAGTCTGACTCCTTAAACCATTTCCCGGTTTGCGCTCGTTGCCTCCTCTGCTCGCCCTTCACTTTGTCGCCCAAATCAGACAATTCAGTTGTGATTAACAGACAAATTTGAGTCTAGAATAATGTGGATATTCTTGCTGCCGGGGGGGGGGTTGCCGAGTTGGTGTCGGCTGGCCCGTCGGAGGGGTTCTCGCCCCTCGTACTCCCTCGCTCCTGTCCTTTCTCGCCCCCTCGCTTCCTAGCTCCCATCCTCCCTGGCTTGCTTGGGGCTGCAGGAGCTTTGATAAATGGCGCCCCCCATTTTCGCAGTCTTATCCCCCCGCCAAGTGATCATCATCAGCCCAACAACCCCCTGTCCCTGCTGTAAGGGGGAGAAGTTTAGGAGCGGATCATGTGGAGATATTTTCTAAATGTCCATTTTGATGGAGGCAGCCATGAACATGCTACATGTAATGAATAAATCAGAATGTCAGTCGTAGTGAAGAATTAAATAAGCGTTATTGACCCGTCTATACGTGTGAGGGTTGTTTTCTATTCTACATCACCGATCTGTCACATCCGTTGAATAACAAAAAGGGGTCAGCTGCCTTTCTGAAGGGATTTCTTTTCTTCACCCCCCTCCCTCACTGAGAGCTCCTCACTATGTGGGATCTGGTTATTCTTATTATTTTTCCTTATTGTCATTCAAAGCCCACCCGGCGGGGGTCTCGTGGTCATCTGATGTAATTACCTGTATTCCTGCTGTATCGTGTCGCCGCGGCGACGCCGTTGCCTTGCCTCCTTTTTTTTTTTTTTTCTTCTTGAAGGATGGCCGGCGTTTCCTTCTCATTACGCGGCTCCTGAAACGTACCCGCGAGGCAGCGCGGGACGCGCGCAGGTGGGTGTGGTTACAGGGCTTCTTTAATAACGCCCCCGCTGCTGCATCTCTTCTGCGGGTCGGGGGCCCGCTGGAGCCGTTCGGGGGCCCTTTTGTCAATAGTGAAAAATGAAGCGTTTCTGATTCCTCGGCACTCGCTGCGTCTCCCTCCCCCACTCCCTTTACCCCCCACTCCCCCCCCACACCCCAGGCGCCACAGATACATTGAGTTAACATAAAAACAAAACTCAGGGGCGTCCCGGTTTGACAAATGACGCCCCTCCTGGTGTTTTTCGCGGAAGGAAATAAAAAAGGCGCCCCGTTTTGTAGAAATGA